ACCCTCCTGAGTTAATAGTTATACGTAGTAGTATAATACCCTTCCTTTTTTAGAAATCTTGATGTGCTACGTACGCATGTATTAATCATTGAAATAGCTAACAAAAATAGCAAATTGGTGATCATACTCGTCTATATATCAATAAGTTTTTACTTTAAATCTTTGTATTTTTGGATGCTATAAATAGTATATACAGTATTTTATATAAATTGAATATTCACGATTATACAATATTTAATAGATGATATAAGAAATCGGACAATGTTTTATTTGCATTTTTTTTTCTAATAAAGTTTAATTCTAAGCAATAGTTATTTTTATTTCATAACTATATATAAATTGCAGAATACATTAAGCATAAAATATATAAGAAAATATAATATTAAGAGTATATCAAAGATGACACCTCTTACGGAAATAGCATATTTAACAGTCCAAGAGCTCTCGAACTGGTAATGATTCTACTATTCCGAGTTTAGTTGGTATTTTCAAATCAATAGTACATTCATCATGCTTTCTAATAACATTTTGTGTATTTTTGTTTTTATCTTGAGCAATAAGAATAGCCTTAGTGATTTGGCGTACAAAAACACCAAGCTTTATATAAGTTTCACGATCTTGTTTTAATTTTGTTTGATCAGTCGCTTGTATATGCATTTTTAATATTTGCTTCCACACGTCATCAGAAACAAATTCATCCAATTCATCATATGGTTCTTTTGCACTATTTATTAATTCATTTGATTAGTATAAAAGAACAATAATTATTATTTATTATGCTGCTATTACGAACCTTTCATTAGTTGATCTAAATTCATTTGCCAAGTTTATTAATGCAATATGAAATTTATGCCGATATGAATTATACCATCCACCAATATCTTTAACCAAAGATCCTAGTCTTCGATCAGTTTTTGAAATTTTGCTAACTTTTGTAATTAATTCTTCATATAATACCGTAGTATTATTTCGAGTTCGGAGGAATAGAGCTTTACATTCCTCCTGTAATTGGAATTTAATATACTAAATTTAAATTAAAAGTTAGTAGAATTATTATATGGTTTTATATAATAAAAAAAATGCTATATCTTACTTGGTCAATTTCAGGAAGTTTTGATACAGGTTCATTTAATATAGTATCAGTAGATGTTGAAGTTGAATTATCCTCTTTATCTACTTTTGTCAACTTCGCTTTTCTAATATTAGTCGCTAAATCTAAGATTCTTTTTTGATGTGCCAACCACCAAGCAATTTCAAACTCATTATTAAATTGTTGAAATTGTGCCGGCTGTTTCAAAGTTAGATTATCTGCTAATAAATTAAAAAATATCAGGATTATTTGTTATAATCATTGCTTTTTATTAATATATACCTGAGGAAGAAACTTGAAATGTAGTAATATCATCATTGTTTGTTAGCAAAGGAGGCGTATTAATATTATTATTATCATGCGTCAGTAAAGAAGATGTATTAAAATTATCATTATTTTGTATCAATGAAGAAGTTGGATAATGTGTATCAGTACTATCATTTTCGTCAGCAAACAAAGAACCTAGAGATGCATCATCAGGTTCATTATCTGAAGAAAAATCTACAGTATTATTATTCTTTTCATGATGCGTTATAATTGCAATATTATTATTGCTTTGTTCTTTATTACTTTGTTCTTTATTACTTTGTTCTTTATCGCTTTGATTTGTTTGACTTGGTTGAAGCAATGATTCATCAGACAGTACCTTATTATAGATATATTGTTAGCATTCAGTTTTTTTTTGTTACTATATTCATTAATTTAAATTTTTTTTATATCTAAACTTACAATAGGGTTTATGATATTATTTTTTTGTTTTTTATTGGATTTTTGTGTTTTATTGGTAGCTGGACTTTGATTATCTAAAAATATTATGTTAGATAATATAGTACTAGAGAAAAATCAAATAATTTATATAAATACCTGATTTCTTTTTGCTAGCAGCTTCTTTTGGCGTTTTCAATTCTATTAAAAATATTAAAAATTAGTTAAAATAAATCATCAGTAATTTCAAGAGCTTTTTTTTTTTCTTACCAAATTTTCGTTTAGGATTAGGCATGTTTGATATAGATTAAACAGTGTCGCAGCAATAAATATCTACTTAAAAATATGTTCTTTTTCGTATCTTTTCTTTTTCAAGATATATTGTGCTTGGAAGTTTGTTCGTACGTGTTCGAACCTCCTCTTATTTATATTTTTATGCATCTGTCAAAAATAAACTATTTATATCATTACAATAATGTATGATTAACTGTTACCATGTGCTAGCGATAAGTCTATTTCGAATGCATGAAAATTATATTGCTTTCGAATTATATTTTATGCATCTGTCAAAAATAAACTATTTATATCATTACAATAATGTATGATTAACTGTTACCATGTGCTAGCGATAAGTCTATTTCGAATGCATGAAAATTATATTGCTAGATATATTAGTCATTTAAAAATCTACTACAGATTCATCTTATACGAATCTATTTATAATATTACTCTAATAACTCTAAAACATCATATTATATCATTAAGAATTTACTGATTTTATATTTATTATAAACACGTGAACCTAGTTCACGATCATTATTTCTAATTCGATTATAATTTTAAAAAGGTATATATCTAGCAGTTATTAGCCGGCTAATCAAGCTATCAGCCAGCTAAGCAGCTAAGCAACTAATTAAATGGCTGGTTTAATCAGCTTGAAACACTACTTGAAATACTAACAGTAATATTATTAGCCATTATCAGCCAACTGATCAACTATCAGCCAGCTAAGCGGCTAAGTAGCTAGCTTAGTCAGCTTGAAGCACTAATATTATTAATTAATGAATATATAATATTACTCTAAATTATTTCTAATAATTCTAATAAATTCCTCTATTATGTCATTAAGTCTCTTACCGATTTTACAATTATTGTAAACATGCGATATTGTGAACCTAGTTCACAATCATTATTTTAATTATGCATGATTCATTTTAGTAATATTGGTATGACATAGTTAATTATGCATAATTATCATTGCAATTCCTCGTCACATATAGTTTGTAGTAGCTAAAAAAAAGCTTAACGAGGTACTTATATATATGACAAATCGAAAGTAAACAAAAGAGAAATAAGATCGATAAAGTTTTTTTTTTTTTGTCAGCACCTGCTAACTAACATTATATTGACTAATAAGCGAAAGATATATTATTCATAATATTACTATAATAATAATGAAGCGTTCAAATAGAACTACTCGTGCACATATGCCAATGCCAAAATTGCGTATTAAATCTAAAAACAAATTAGAAAATGCCAAGAGAACTTCTATAGATGATCATATATCAGAACACAATAACATGGATGATATTGATTTGTTTTTTGAAGAAAATCAAGTTGAAGAAACCGGAGATTCATCAACTAGTAATTATATCTTACCAAGTGAGGTTAGTATTATGTTCTAAAATGTTCTAAAAAAAATATTTTAGAGAATATACTAATTCAATGTTTTAATTTTTATCATTTTAAGCCTAGAGAAAGTATCAATAATTATCAACCTCAGTATAGTTCATTAATTGATACTATAGGAAAGACCTCAGTCAATTATGATGAATTCAATATATCTGATATGAATTCAACTTATGACAATGAAAGCTTATCTGATATCTTAGATGTTGTAGAGAATAGTGACGATGAATCTGATATTTTAGATGTTGTAGAGAATAGTGACGATGAATCTGATATTTTAGAAGAAGCTTTGGAAACTGATATACTAGAAGATATGTCTTCTGACTTTGAGGGCTTTAATAACAAATATGGTCCATATTTTTCAAATTTCACATCTGCAATGATTTTTATTTGGATCACCAAACATATGATTTGTAAGTAAATTAATTAATAAACATATTATACGTATAAGTGGCAAGAGAAAACCTGTAAATCATTTCACTCATTATCACAGTGATATGTACTACTAATTCTTATAGAGGTAGATATCACTGCAATAATAATAAGTGAAATGGTTTACAAGTTTTCCCTTCCCGTTACTCATATACTATTTAAATTGTTGTTTTTAAATATTACAGTATATATAACTTAACAAAATGTATATATACTGTATAAAAACTGGTCAAAATTAAAAAATCTAATATATTGAATATAGGGTGTGCAATGGGCCGGGCCAAACCCGATAATTTGCGGGTTGGGCTGGGTTCGGGCCGTGCCTGGGCCTGGATTTTCAATTAATTAGACCGGGCTCAGGCCGGGCTTGTTGAGCTTGGGCCGGGTTAAACCCGGTAATTTATATAGGTTAAGCTTTGTTTGGGCCAAACCCGGGCCTAGATTTTTGGTTCTATAATGAATTGGGCCGGGTACAGGCTGGGCTCATAATTTAACAGGGTGGGTTCGGGCTCAGGCAAACCCAGTCCAACCCGGCCCATTGCACACCCTAATTGAATAGCATATTTAAATTATTCTATTCGATATATTGAAAATTTTTAATTTTGACTAATGAAACGCTTGAATAAATTAATTTACTATATCTATGTATATGGAGTCTTTGCCTTGAAAATGACCTTATGGTATTATGTACTATAAGGTCATTTTCAAGGCAAAGACCAATATGTATAGTAGCATAATGATAATATAAATTCTTATACACATAGCAACCTCTGCATATGAAGATCTTATCAAGATTATAACACATCCTGAGTTTCAAAAAGATGATGTTCCTACAAATATTCGCCACATTCGGAAATGGAGGAATAGATT